CCAAAATGCGATATCGTTTCTAATGAGGTGATGCGAATGAAGCGTAATGTATTCTATATTCCATGATTAATGGCATTTTCGTAGCCTTGAACGAAAGAGCTACCAACAGAAGTTCTTTCTTCTCGCGCGATATTTAGGCCGTGAGAGATAGCGCTCGCTCATTAGAAACAACATTTTATTTGTCGTCTTTTTTTTTATTTCTTTTTTCTCTTTTCTTTTAATTATTCCTTTAATTATCTCCTTTATTTCCTTTAGCCGCGCTAATTCACGATGGCTTATATACGATATTATGCGCCGCGTTATAACAGTAGGTCGCTTTTCTTACAGTATTAATAATAATAATGATATCAATTTAATTATACAATCTCACGGGTGCAGGAACAATGCAATATTTATCTATCTAGCAAAACGAACGCAGTTATACATTTCGTTTAAATCTGAGCTTTGTGAAAACACAACGTTTTGTAATGTCTTTGTACACAACCGATGATTGCATAACGTTAAATAACATTTGATTAAATAACTAATCTGATCTATTAAATAGTCAACCAGTACTTTCATAACGATTTTAACTTTATAATACATCCGATATCGAGAAATGGATAAAACAATTCAAACTCCTCTGTAAAAGTCTCATTAGATGAAAACGACTAGCGGAACTATTGTACGTACGCGAGTACGTTAATGGCCATCATAAGAAAGACGGAGTGAATAGAAAAATTAGAAGTCCGGGATTTCGGGCCGGCAGAATTTTAATAAATACGGTTTCGATACTATAAACTCGAAATATCTGACATACTTTCGTTACCAAGCGAAATACGATATTACGAATAAGCATGGGGATCGCTTTCGCGTGTCGAAATTCAAACTCTACAAATTACATTGGTTTAGTTCGTTCGGTTGTGAATCCGTTCTATCAGTAACTATATATCTAACTACGCTGTATAATATTGCGTTTCCGGAGTACCGGCTTACGAGTAGAAAATCAGCGATGGTTTTTTTTTTCTCTCTTTGGTTTCAATCGAGGTAATCAGCCGGAGGAATAAAACGACTAGCAACATTCCGCTCCAATACTGCTGAGATATAATTACAATTACATTAGCGGTAGTGTAACTTGTGCTTAAATGAAACACATTTATATGAAATGGTATATCCTCTATTGACAACCGGTAGACTATAATATCTCGTTCTCTCTCTCTTCGTAGAAATCTCCAATGTCTGCGTCGTATGCGCACGCGCCCCACACCACACACACACACACACACACACACACACACACACACACACACACACACACACACACACACACACACACACACACACACACACAACACACATA